GCTGGATGAACACAGCAGGCCAGGCAGCATCAGAGGAGCAGGAAAGCAGACCTTTCGGGTCGGGACCCTTCTTCAGAAATAGGGGAGGGGAAGGGGCCTCTGAAATAAATAGAGAGGGGGGGGAGGCGATGATGGAAGGTGGATAGAGGAGCAGATGGGTGGAGAGAAGACGGACAGGTCAAGGTGAGTGTAGGTGGGGAGTTGGGATGGGGGTTGGTCAGTGAGGAGGAAGGGGCGGGTAGGTGGGAGGGAAGACGAACAGGTCAAGGAGGTGGGGATGAGGCTGGTAGGTTGGAAGTGGGGATGGGAGTTGTTCAGTGAGGTGGGAGGAGCAGATAGGTGGGAGAAAAGACGGACGGGTCAATGAGGCGGGAACGAGCTGGGCTGGTTTTGGGATGAGGTCGGCACAGGAGTAGACCGTCTGGCCCTTCTAGCCTGCTCTGCCATTCCGTTGTTCAGTTATCTCCTTTCCCGTCTCTCAAAGTTTGGGTTCCCCCGGGGATGGCAGTCACTGACAAATGGAGGTGGACAACCAGGAGGCTGGAACAACACAACAGGCCAGGCAGCATCTGGAGGAAAGCAGCAGTCAACATTTCGGATAATACCCAAAACGTTGACTTCTCCTTTCCTCCAGATGCTGCCTGGCTTACTGCGTTCTTCCAGCAAACTGTTTGTCCACTTTGGATTCCAGCATTTGCAGTTTTTTTTGTTTCTAATTGACAAATGGAGACCCGCTGATGTGAGACGTGGGTTAAATCTGAGCTGGAGGGTGAGGGAATAGAACATAGAACATAGAACAGTACAGGCCCTTCGGCCCACTATATTGTGCCGAACTTTTACCCTAATCCTAAGGTCTATCTAACCTCCACCCCTACCTTATACTATCATCCAAATGCCTATCTAATAGCTGCTTAAATGCCCCTAATGAGGCCAACTCCACTACCCTCTCCGGCAATGCATTCCACGCCCCCACCACTCTCTGAGTAAAGAACCTACCTCTGACGTCTCCCCGATATCTACCTCCACTCACTTTAAAACTATGTCCTCTCGTAAAAGCTACCTCCACCCTAGGGAAAAAGTCTCTGGCTGTCTACTCTATCAATACCTCTGATCATTTTGTACACCTCTATTAAGTCACCTCTCATCCTTCGTCGTTCTAAAGAGTAAAGCCCTAGCTCTCTCAACCTTTCCTCGTAAGACCTTCCCTCCATTCCAGGCGACATCCTGGTAAATCTCCTCTGCACCTTTTCCAATGCTTCCACATCTTTCCTGTAATGAGGTGACCAGAACTGGACACAATATTCCAGATGTGGCCGAACCAGACTTTTGTATAGCTGGAGCATAACTTCACGGCTCTTGAACTCAATCCCTCTATTAACGAAAGCTAACACACCATACGCCTTCTTAACTCTATCCACCTGGGTGGCAGCTTTCAGGGAACTGTGAACATGAACCCCAAGATTCCTCTGCTCCTCCTCACTGCCAAGAATCTTTCCATTAACCCTGTATTCTGCTTTCAAGTTTGTCCTTCCAAAATGAATCACCTCACACTTTTCAGGGTTAAACTCCATCTGCCACTTCTCAGCCCAGCTCTGCATCCTATTGATGTCCCTTTGTAACCTAGAACAGCCCTCCACACTGTCCACAACGTGACCCACCTTCGTATCGTCCGCGAACTTGCTAATCCACCCTTCCAGTCCTTCATCCAAATCATTTACAAACATCACAAATAGAAGAGGACCCAGAACAGATCCTCATGGTACACCACTCGTAACTGAGCACCATGTTGAATATTTTCTGTCCACTACCACCCTCTGTCTTCTAAGGGTCAGCCAATTCTGAATCCAATCTGCCACATTTCCCCCTATCCCATGCCTCCTTACCTTCTGCATGAGCCTACCATGGGGAACCTTATCAAATGCCTTACTTAAATCCATGTACACCACATCCGCTGCTCCACCTTCATCCACATGTTTGGTCACCTCTTCAAAGAATTCAACAAGGTTTGTGAGGCATGATCTACCCCTCTCAAATCCATGCTGATTATCACGAATCAAACTGTGCCTTTCCAAATGATCATAAATCCTGTCTCTCAGGGACCTTTCCAATAATTTGCCCACCACTGACGTAAGACTAACTGGTCTGTAATTTCCGGGGTTATCCCTGTTCCCTTTTTTTGAACAAGGGAATTTCTTTTAAAAAATTAAACGAGGCTTTCCAAGGTTCGTCACCCTCTTCACCAGGAAGAAGGCTGCACCTAGATTTGAACTCGGAATCCCAGCGTTCAGAAACCAGCGCGCTCACCATTACACCAGGAATCTGGGCACTACTCCCAAGATTGGGCCCAATGTGGGGAACACTCATTGATCTTCCAATGAAAAGGGTCAGAGCAGAAAAACAGCCTCTTCCAGACTCAACATGTCCTGCAGCTGAGCCCCAAAGTGTGGTTCCTTGTCTGAGGGTTCTTTGTGTGATTATTTCTCTCATCTTTACTAAAATAAATCAACTTTGCACATTATGTTGGAGTATGATTTGCATGTCCCAAATGTTTCCAATTTGTCCTTTGCCCTGCTCCCTGAACACCCCAACCTCTAGAGACTTTTAAGCGACTCTTGGATGGGCACATGGACGATAGTAAAATGTAGGGTATGCAGGATAGGTTGATCTTAGTAGGATAATAGGTCAGCACAACATCGAAGAGTCTGTACTGTGCTGTACTGTTCTATGTTCTATGTGTGGCTCCCCCCCACTACAAGTTACATGTGGTAAATGCTCATTTCCAGCTCTGTCTATGGTGTATGTTTTCTGAAATAAAAAGGTCCTCGCTGAATTGTTCCCCTTTCTGTTTTGTTGCTTCGATGTTGATCGCAGATGCTGAGAGTGTCCTGTCCAAGCCAGGTCACCGATTGAAGAATGTTGAGCTGGTTGTGAGGAGGGCCCCGCCCAGGGACCCGAAGAAGATTATGCTGAGTGGGCTGAACCCACAGATACAGGACGATGTGTTAATCCTGTACCTGGAGTGGATCGCTAACCGCAACAGTGAGCAGTTCACTGTCTGCTGGGATCCAGACAGGAGTCATGCCCTCGTTGACTTTCAGGAAGCTGTCTCTGTGGAAGGTAAGCGAATTCCTGGGAACTCATGTTTACGCAACGTGTGACTGAGAATTCTATCCCCCCCTGCTCCCAAAAGGAAAGCACCTGAAAGCTCAGCTGACAGATTGTACTGAGAGATATCTTGTTGGAGTAATAAGCCAGAAATCTTGATTCATAATTTGGAGAGCGCGTGCATTTGATTTCAGTTTGTTTTTTCTGTAAAATCTGAAAATAATTATCCGGTATCAGTAAAGCTGACCGTCAAACCGTCAGATTGATGTAATTATGTTCACAACTATCCTGCAGGAAAGGGAACCTGCTGTCTTCCCCCATTTAGTGGGTTGCAGTCCCATTATTTTGTTGATATTACCCAGCCCTGAAGCTGCTTAACAATCCAGTCCATTCAAACAACTACAACAGACAGGGCCTAGCACCATCTACTCGGGGTAACCACAGATCAGAAATAAATGCCTGACATGCCAGCAATGGCCGTAAAAATGTGAATTATAAAAAACAAGATATAATTTCACTGTTGCCCACCACCAGCCTGCACCTCCGTGATTTTCTGTCTGATTTGGATAATACAGTACAGATTACAGAGCAACAAGAGGATCACTCTCAGCAGGTTATCTTTCTGATTGAGGCATCAGGGAAGTTGACGGATAGATTTGCAACTATTAAGGAAATATACTTTTAAAAAGAAAACCTTGCATTTATGCAGCATTTTCCTTCAATGGCTAACATTACAGAGTTATAACTTGCAACAAAAATACATTCCATTAATGCACAGTTTTCCTCCCATGCCACTTACCATCCTGACTTGGAAATATATCGCAGTTCCTTCACTGTCGTCGGGTCAAAATCCTGGAATTCTCTCCCTAAGGGCATTGTGGATCGACCCACAGCAGGTGGACTGCAGCGGTTCAAGAAGGCAGCTCACCACCACTTTCTCAAGGGGCAACTAGGGACGGGCAATAAATGCTGGTCCCAGCCAGGGATGCCCACATGCTATGAATGAGTAAAACAAATTACCTCGAGGTTCTGCTGTTCAATCTGGTGCCTCGTTCACACACAGTCTTAAACAAAAAGCAGAGCTTCTTTCCTCATTCTAATTATATCAAGGTGTCTACATTCAGAAAAAAGAACAGTGGTGCTCAGGAGCAAAAACAGAAGTTGCTGGAAAAGCTCAGCAGGTCGGGCAGCATCTGTGAAGGGAAATATCAGCGTTAACGTTTCGGGTCCGGTGAGCCTTCCTCAGACCCTTCCTTCTCCACAGATGCTGCCGGATCTGCTGAGCTTTTCCAGCAACTTTGTCCTGATTCACAGCATCCACAGTTCTTTCAGTTTTTATTAAATATATTGGGTTTGAGGCTCTCTGCACAGTGAGATCTGGCCTTATCGGGAAGGGAAGAGATAGCGAAATGTACCCAATCTCGGAGAGGGGGAGGAGGGAGAGATTGGACTACCGAGAGGATTCGATTACAGGAGCAGGGATGTCTTGATACGATGGTACAGGACCTTGGTGAGACCACACCCAGAGTACTGTGTGCAGTTCTGGTCTCCTTACCTGAGGGAGGATGTTCTGTCTATGGAGGGAGCGCAGTGAGGGTTTACCAGACTAATTCCTGGAATGGCAGAGCTGACGAACGTAGAAGACTGGATTGGTAAGGACTGGAGTTTAGAAGAATGAGGGGGATCCCATTGAATCCTATAAAATTCCAACCAGATTAGACAGGGTGAATGCAGGAAGGATGTTCCTGAGCCCAGAACCAGGGGTCACAGTCTAAGGATACAGGGTGGGCCATTGAGGACTGAGATGAAGAGAAATATCTTCACCGAGTGAATGGGGAGCCTGTGGAATTTTCTGTCACAGAAAGTGTTGGAGGCCAAAACATTGAATGTTTTCAAGGAGTGAAATATAGACTCTTAAGCTAAAGGGTATTGGGAGAATGTGGGAACAGGGGACTGAGTTGGATGATCAGCCATGATCATGCTGAATGGTGCAGCAGACTGGAAGGACTGAATGGCCTATTCCTGCTCCTATTTAGGTTTCTATGTTTTACCATTAATACTACTCACATGAGCCTCCAGCAGCTGGCCCCGAGCGGTTTGTACTCTAGTCTCAGATTTGGAAAGTTTTCTGTGTTTTGTTATTTTTCAATTTTCCAGATCTTGAGACAATGAAGGTGAAAGCCAAAAGCCGAAGTTTACAAGGTGCCACCTTAGACATCAGACAGCTTCCACAAACTGACCGCATCCTGGTAGAAAATCTCAGTCCCACTGATGACAAGGACATTCTGAGTCTCTACTTTGAGAGCCGTCGCCGTAGCAACGGAGGGACCGTGCTGGATGTTACCATGCTCCCTGGAGGAAGAGCCATTGTTCTGTTCCAGGAATGGGAAGGTAATTACTAACGGATTAATTTATTCACCATGCAGACTCCAAACACAAAGACGTTCGGTCTGGGTGTTAGAGAGCTCGTAGTATTTGATCAGTTCAAGTCCCACGTTGGCAAATCAGGAAATTCATTTGAAGCGAATCAGAATAATATCCTGGGAGAACTATTGGATTATCATCTAATCGATGTGCTTCAAGGAAATTGCTCGGATCTAAAATCAGTACAACGAAGCAATTTCAGTAGCTGAATAGTACCAATGTGTTGCCATTCACTCATAGAATCATAGAATCCCTACAGTGTGAAAACAGGTCCTTTGGCCCAACAAGTCCACACTCTCCCTCAGAGCATCCCACTCAGACCCATCTCCCTAATCTACACACCCTGAACTCTATGGGCAATTTAGCATGGCCAATCCACCTAACCTGCACATCTTTGGACTCCTTCAGTCTGTTTTAATTAACTTGTAGACAATCACTGCATCAACAATATTTATCCGTTTATCCCTCAGTAACAAACTTTTATCGCAATCCTACCTTCCCCAAGCCTTGAGTTCTTAGGGAGAAAGCGATTCCCTATACCTGCTCGCTTTTGTGCTCAGGTCTGTCACGGCTGATACACCAGTGCAGTGCTGAAGGACAGTGGAGATGCTGTCTTTCAGATGAGACATTAAACCAGGCTCCATCTACTGTTTTGGGTGAATACGTAAGATTCCGTGCCACTAATGAGCAGAGGAACTACCTCAGGATGCCTTGATCAGTATTTACTAGTGAACAGACATTGCATCACTGATTGTGAGTCCTTGGCTGTGTGCAAACTGGCAGCTGCTATATCCAAGATAACAAGGTGTAGAGTTGGATGAACACAGCAGGCCAAGCAGCATCAGAGGAGCAGGAAGGCTGACGTTTCGGGCCTAGACCCTTCATCAGAAATGGGGGGGGGAAGGGGGTTCTGAAATAACTAGGGAGAGAGGGGGAGGC